TCCATTCACGATGTAGTAGTAAGCAAGCGGTGTCACTTAAAAAAACACACAGATATGCCTACAAGGACTACTTGAAATCTTGCTCGAGTGATTAACAAAAAAGCAAATGCATATTCTCGAAAGAGTTTAGTGAAAAAACTTCAAACTCGGCCGGTGAATTCCGAATTTCTTTGATTTTCTGAAAGTGCTGTGAAGTTTACGAAACAGGCAATGGAACATTTCGCCTACCATTTGTTGGGCTGTTTCTTCGCTGTTTCAAAATCACATAGAGTGGAGGGCATGCTCCAACAACCGTATACTGTATACCCTGCATCGACCTATAAAATACTGAAAGCATTCAGCGGCCTGAGGGTTGTTCTCCAGATCTCAGAATTGGTTTTTTGGGTGTCGAAAAGGTACTTTGAGAAATTGCTCATTTTTCGTTTTGAAAGTGAAGCAGGGTAAAATATTACAAACAGCCAACCACTTGTCTCGCAGCCACGCTCCTGGATGGTCACTAGAAAGAGAAGTAGGAAGGGATTTCGACTTCTTCTTTTTCTTAAAAGACGACATGGCATGATGGGTTCTTGAGCTTCTTGAGCTTGAGTAATTTTCAATTTAAAAGGGAGTTTATTTTATTTTACTTTGTTTTTAGTCTCCGCTCAGAATTATCTCAAATACAGATAAGAATTGTCTTAAATATATTATCATTCTTATGTCTTCTCGCTTATCCCCTATTCAAAGTTCTATCCGACAATTCAGTGCAACAATTTGCCACAGAAAGCGAAGTACAAAGGACATGAAACAAAGGGACTTGCTTACTGCAGACATTCGTGCAACGGCCGATTGAGATTCTGCATTTTGATGTGCTGATTACACGAGGAGACATCGTAGAACACATTGCCCGGATCGCAGAAATAATCCAGCACATTATCCGGAGTGATGAAATTCGGTGGCCAATTAGGATTCCTGAACGATTGGTGGAGCAACGAAACGGGCGCTGTGGGCCCGGACTGCGAAGGCACATTCGGCATACCCATGTAGCCACCACCTGTGTGTGCTTCCTCACATTATCATACAAATCATTGAAAAATATGTGTTAATGTCAAATGCTGAGAAATATAAAAGCTCAGTGAAATAGCTACCCAGGTAAGTGCCAAACTCAATAAGATTTTGTCTTGTATGGCTCGCTAGAGGCTGAAATGGTGAAAGCAACAGGAAAGCACGGCAAAGCGAAGGAGTGAGTGAAACTGTGGTACCTTGTGTCTGGCCCATCATCATGCCGCGACCAGCGCCAGCACTCTGCTGCTGCATCATCCTTTCCTGTAAACCGACTTTTATAGAAGAGCTTTTATGGGGTTTACAAGCTGCGCGTTAACCCGAGTCAAATGTTACTGCTAAAACCCATTCCGTATTTTGCTCAGTGAAAGGCGGAGGGACTCAGGAACTAGCCGGATTGGTAGCAAATGCCAACAGCAACCACCAGATGGCAAGGCTGCCAGTTGGTTCTCTTCTGAGAAATGCTTACAAGCAAGATGATGGCGTTATTACGGAAACCAAAGTCGCCATCTCACGGCCAAACCAACTCACTCAGACTACAGGCGTAGAAACATCGGCCTTACCACGATGCAGTCACAGGACGAGCGCCTCTACTCAAGGCCCATCTGTCCCACAAGGCCTACCTCCGGCGCACACAAATGCTCACATAAGGACAATGCTTTGATATTCTAACGTTAGCTTAACTCATTTTTACACGGATCGCCTTCCGACCCCACGAAAGACTGCCAGCAGGCCAAACACAACGCAAGAACTGCCTGATGATGACTGATCGCACAAACTGGGAGAGTTGAAGTTTGCATTTTCAGTAGGAGTTTGCATTTTCCAGGATCGCGGAAAATATACGATTTTGGGCTCGTCTAATCGCTAAAAGCTTTTCAACCACGGTGAAATTTATTACCATCCAGGCAAAAAAAAACTCGATATCTTTTAAAACTTTAATCCCCAGCAGCAATTTTTATTATAAGAATGTTGACTGAGAAATGAAGAACTTAGTTCACGAAGCTTGGCTGTGTTTATGAGTGTGTGTCAAG